TATGAGCATTTAGGTCCAACATTTGTGCAACCGTGCATCATTTGCTAGATTGTCTGGGCTGCGTGTTGATCCTGACTTTGTGGAGATCCCTGCTCAGGTGCTAGAGAATTGGTAGGTCATTGATCCTACTATTTCTTAGTCTTTTTGGACAGATGAAACTCCCTGATAATTGGTTTTTAACATATAGGTGTTATGAGAGCTTCTCATTGAAGTTGATATCTGGTTTCCATCAGGTGATACATCTTGACAAGATCTGCATGTGTCCTGAATATATATGTATGTGTGTTTGTCTCTTACTGCCAGATATATATTCATATATGCATAGGCTTGGACTTCTGGCTTGCTTGTCTATTCTGGGGTTTTCATGTGTGTGTTTACATGCTATTATAATCTGTTTGGGTTGGTCAATTCTTTCTGAAATGATTGACAAAAGGAATAATTGTTGTGATTTTCAAGGACGTGGTAATTGGTTTTTTTTTTTTTGGAGCAGAGTGGACAGTGTTTTACAAAAACAAAACTAATTACTTGAAGTTATATCTGTGACATTATCATTTGCAGGATATTACAAAGCCCATCAAGGATGAAATATGTAAATCACTTAAACGATGGCGATATTCCTTTTCTGCACTTAAATTGAAGCAAGAAGTTCTTTGCTGTAAGCCTTTTACTTTGTCATCAATCAGGAAACTCCAATTTTACTGAAATCTGTTGAGACCTTGATTTTGTGGATTAGGAAAATCTGTTGTGATTTTTAATCATTTCATTTTCTCCATTTTGATAAGTTTTTAGAATTAGATTCCAATAAGTGATTTCTAGCCTTTTGGAATGAGATCCCAATATGTGGACAGCTTTCAATAAGTTTAACCAGGATGCACCAAATTCTATGATTCAATAAAACATGCTGAAAACTTAGAGAGAGAGAGTGGGGGGGGGGGGGCATCCAAATTCAATGGGATATTTATTATGACTTATAATCATAGGAGTTATTAGAACTCAAAAGTGGAATACTAAGTACGTTATTGTAATTGCTTCTTGTTCTTGGTAGCCATAGCATGACTAAAATGCCCAGGCATGTTGGGAACTGGTTCTCCATGGTTTCTTGGTTCTTGAGTACGCTGCATAGTTTGGCAGAATCAAATGCTTTCCGACTGTTCTTGCAACATGAACAAGTTGCTTATTTTTTGAATTAAAAATGTGTATTTAGGTGCTTTATGTTGACTTGTTTAATATTATGATTAAACTTGTCTTTATATGAAGTCAACATCTTGGAATTCGTTTTAGAAGAACCGTAGACATTTCTAATTAAGCATGTCCACATAGATGGACTCCTTTCTGCTGTAATACACATTATTTCCCTCTCTCTTCATTTAACCTCTAAAGATGTTTTTGACTCTCAGGTCTTTTTGATCAAATTATACATTCTGCTGAAAATGTTGACATTGTTGAGTTATTCAAGCATCTTCATCCAAAGGTATGCACATTTTACTGTTGTTGCTTTGGACTTTGTGCATTTTGGAGGAGAATACTTATATCATTTTTTTGCCTCCATCTTTTGGTATTTGTAGGTAATGTTGGGATTGCCAATGTTAGAAGGAACCAATCCAGCATCATGCTTCCCACGTTGTGCTATTGGTTATGAAGCTGCTTGTTACAGTCGTATTTGGAGTGAGGTTTGATTGGTTCAATCCTGTCTTTCTTGCCTGTTTTACTTTTATCGTTTAGATTATTATATAATGTTGTACTTGTTACCAACTTTATAGGGTGATGTAGAATAACTGCTACTACTTTATTGTGGATGATCTATTTCTGCGCAATTGGTGCACCTTATGAAAATCATTTGTAATGCTTCAAATGTATAGGTATTTGCAGCTGATATATTTACATCGAAGTTTCGTGATGGTCTTTTGAACCAGTATGTTGGTATGCAATTTAGGACTAAGGTACCAACCGTTGGTATGCAATTTCTTAAAAGCATTCTTTTATATGTTACCATGCTGTTTACTGTTTTCAAAAAGTTCCCTGCAAGATTCTTTCTTTAGTTACCAAGCAGCTAATAGAAACACTGAAATCTCTCTACCGTTAACATCATGCATAAAGCATGAGTTCTTATACAGCTTTTTGCATGTATGCAAGTGCATGGATGCATGTGCATATGTCCACGATAATAATAATAGTTATTATTGCTTTTTACTTCTTCGGAGGTATTGGCACCAGGAGGAGCTAAGGATCCAATTGAAATTCTGTCTGACTTTCTTGGAAGAGAACCATCAATTCAGACATTTATCGACAACAAATGAATTAGCTTGTGACACAGTTTTGGTAATTTATCTTTATGCCATTTCTTACTATACTGCAATATACTAGTTCTCGTAGCATCTTGTTGCATCGTAGCCTCTTGCCAGAAGTTATCAGCATTACTTCTGTTGTATATAAAATTTTGTAGATACACCCTTGGTTTAGACATGATGGTTGAAAACTACTGCGAGATGGTTGGTTGATCGATTGAGGCCATGATGTCGATAGTAGGTTACAGCCTGATGAACAAATGAATTGGATTCAGTAATGCTTGGACTTAGATATCCAAGCTTCGATGCCAATAGTGCAGGTATTTGGTGCCATCAAGACAGATTGAACTCCCACATCAAGGCTGTTGAAATGTGATGGGGTTAGCCGTTAGAGGAGGTTGGAGAGGGAAATGTATTTTCTTCCGGTATTTATTTTTAATTTTGAATTTTTAATTACAATTTTAATATTTGGATTGTGGGATTGATTTTTTATTTCTCAATTTTTTTTATAAATTATAACTATACTAGTATATGATGGGTTTTATTTAATTATTTTCTTGATGATAGCAACTAGCTAGCAACAAAAATATTGTTTAAGTATTTATAAAGGATTAGTTGAGTTGACAAGGAAACAAGGTTTTTTTTTTTATTGTGTCAATTTGAGTTTGATTTTGAATGCATTGAACTTAATGTGAGGGACAAAAGGATTCCATTTAAACAATACTTGAAGATATCACATTAAAAAAGTTGTCGAATCGAGTTCGATGATTCCAAGTTAATGGTCTTGACTCGCAATTGAATGGAGTTTTGTAACAATTTCCTTGACTTACTACTTTTCTCCATCCTTAAATTCATGATGAAACTTATCAATTGTGAGAATACGGTTCATATAGTCAGGATGATGATCCAAATTAGCTTGACTAGTCCTTTTCTTTTGCCAACAATTTGACTAGTCCTGAACACATATATCATGTAGGTGAGATATAAATAATTTTTTTATTATTAAAAGAAAAGGAATGTTACATATCTAAATATATATATATATATATAAAGAGAATAGTGAAAATATACAGTTTTTAAATATAAAGAAAAAATAGACACAATTATCAGTTTTAAAAATGGTTTAAACAATGATTTAAATTATGTTTTATAAAGTAAAAGACTAATATATTATTATTAATTTATTTTTGGTTATTACGTGAGATTTTTTTTTTTTTGTAAATTCATTAAATGAATTGGTGTCACTTGACTTGTGATATTAAACTCCATTTGTTTTGTAGAAAATAATTTTTAAAAAATGATTTTTGAAAAATATTTGTATGTTCTAAATTGAAAGAGATTTGTTGTTATTTGGATGAGTAAATGAAAAATATTTTTCGTTATTTCATTGATTTTTTGAAATATTTATTTTCTTTTCAAATAATATTAATATAACTATTAGAATATTAAGAATTATTTATTATTAAAATATATTGAAGTTATTTATTATTAAAATTATTAATATTAAAAAATAATTATATTTTAATAATAATATTAATATTAAAATGTTATGTTAATATAAAAATACTTAAAATGAAGCTATTTATTATTCTTTATATTATTTATTAATATATTATAATATTATTTATTAATAATTTATAATATATTATATTAATAATATTTATTTATTATATATATTAAATTAATAGATTTTAATTTATTTATTAATTATAATATTATTTATAAGTAAAATTATGTTTAAAAGTATTGGTAAATAATTATACTCATAGACAACTCTTTTTCAAAAAATATTTTTCGCTTTTCAAATCCGTAAAATAATTTATAAAAAAATAACCTTATTTTTTGTTGATCAATAAATTTTTTGTCAAACGAACATTTAAAAATATGAAAATCATTTTTCGAAAGTTATTTTTCATGAAATAAATGAAACCTAAATAAAAAATTTTAATAGCATAGATTATTACTAGAAATATGTACACTCACTTGTGCAAGCAGTGGAAGGGAAAAAAGTGTTTTAAAAGAGAAAAAATTGCTAAATGGTAGTTTTTTTTCTAAAGAATAGATAGTTTTTATGAAAAAATAAATTATATACAAAATCAAAATATATAAATATCTTATTTATTTTTAAATAGTACAATCGATACTAATGATAAAATCCGTCATTGAGTTTGGTATCAAAATTAAGTAACACCAATTCAATTCAATTAGTAGGATAATTTCTCAAAGATATTTTGTTATTTAATAAAATGAAGATATATATTTTTAGAGACATCTTAGTCTTTTAATTTTTCTTAAAAATACAAGTTTGATTTAAATATTTTTAAATTTATTTTAATCCTTTTTTTTTCTCACTTTTAAATAGTTCATTTTTTTATCGTATTTAAATAATTATAATTTTTTATTTTTTATTTAAATTTTTTATAATAAATTATTTATTATTTCACCGATTTTTTTGTTATGCATAAAGCATTTATTTCAATAATGATAATCAATTTCAAACTTTTTATATAAAAAAAGCAATTTCAAGCTTTAACACTTCCCTACAAAACGCGTTTCAAAAAATTATTACTATATAATAAATAAAAAGAATAAATTCAAGAAAAATGACAAAATTTTTTTGTAAGAACGACGTCGTTAGCATACACCAGTTTTGGATTCTCTGGTTCCTGTTTTCCATTTGACTTTTGACTACGAAGTAAGAATAACCGAAATCACGAGAAATTTAGTAAAGAAAAAAAAAATCATAGTCAACAAAGAACAACGAGCAAACCAAGATGGAAAATTTCTGAAATTCGTTTCTCTGTAAGTTGTTGCAGCAGACCCCTTCTTTTTTTACTTCTCAATTTTAAGTCTGGATTTTCTTGCATGTGTTTTTTAAAAAAATTTTTCTTTTGTTTTCTTTAATTAATGAAGAGAGAAGAAAAAAACTTTCTTAATTGCTTTTAGAGCCTTGATTGTTTCATTTCATGATGATTTGGAATCTGGAATGTACTCAAATTTACTTAATTTCTTCTTTCCTTGGTGGAAGAACAGAGAAGCTCGTGCTGATCATTTCTTTGGAGTGAGTTTGTACTTCTGGGTTTTGCTTTTTTAAGCCTTAAAAGTTTTAATTTTTGCTGTTAGGTACTGTTGTAGAGAAAAGGGTTGGGCTGATTTTAAGACAAGGGGCTTGCAGCTGAAGAAGAGTTTCTTTTTTGAATGTTTGAGATAAGAAAATTCTGGAATTTTGATTAGTTCTCTTGTTTTAGCAGTTTGAATTTTGCTTTTCTTATGGTAGGGGATTTTGGTTCCCTTGTGGGGACAAATTATTTGGTTTATCCTTATGATTTTGGGTTTTCTTTTTAGATGATCTAGAATATGGGTTTTGGTAGTTGATGCATTTCTGATTAGTGATTAGAGTTTTGAGGGATCCAAGTAATTTGTCGGAATCAGCATTGTGGCATTAAGGGGGGGTGAATCATGCTCAAACAGATTCTAAGTAAGCTTCCTCGGAAGTCGTCCAAGACAGCTGATAGTCGTGAACATGGCGGAAAACATGCTACTTATTCTAGTGTTTCTGGTGGCTCGAGGAGCAGTGATTTAGGAACTGGCAAGGTAGGAAATTTTAATGTTTCATCCTTTCCAGTACCTAATTCTACGGAAGATGTTGGATGGAAAGGTGCAAATTCGAATTCCAATGGGAACCATGTGTTCCCTGCTTATGAATCATTGCCTGCTTTCAAAGATGTTCCAGCATCAGACAAGCACGACTTATTCATAAAAAAGCTTAACTTGTGTTGTGTCATTTTTGATTTCACTGACCCCACCAAGAACCTCAAAGAAAAGGAGATCAAGCGGCAGACTTTGTTAGAGCTTGTGGAGTATGTGACTTCTGCAAATGGGAAATTTTCAGATGCTGTTCTGCAAGAAATTGTTAAAATGATATCAGCAAACTTGTTTAGGAGCCTTAAGCCTCAACCACGGGATAATAAGGTTGTAGAAGGCGGCCTTGATTTGGAAGAGGAGGAACCTTCAATGGATCCTGCTTGGCCACACTTGCAAATTGTATATGAGTTTCTTTTGAGGTTTGCAGCCTCACCTGAGACTGATACAAAATTGGCCAAAAGATATGTTGATCGATCCTTCATCTTTAAGTTGCTTGACTTATTTGACTCTGAAGATCCTAGAGAAAGGGAATATTTGAAAACAATTCTTCATCGCATCTATGGCAAATTCATGGTTCATCGACCATTCATTAGGAAAGCTATAAACAACATCTTTTTCCGTTTTATTTTTGAGACTGAGAAACATAATGGGATTGCTGAACTTCTAGAAATATTGGGCAGTATTATTAATGGATTTGCCTTGCCACTGAAAGAAGAACATAAAGTATTCCTTGTTCGGGTGCTAGTTCCCTTGCATAAACCAAAATGCTTAGCAATGTATCATCAGCAGTTATCTTACTGCATTATGCAGTTTGTTGAGAAAGACTGCAAGCTTGCTGATACTGTCATTAGGGGGTTATTAAAGTACTGGCCCATCACAAACAGTTCAAAGGAAGTCATGTTCCTAAATGAATTGGACGAAATTTTAGAAACAACTCAGCCACCAGAATTCCAGCGCTGCATGGTGCCCTTATTTCGCCAAATTGCTCATTGTTTGAACAGTCTGCACTTTCAGGTGAGAAGGTTCTGAAAGTTGTGTTCTACTTTGCCTTAATTTCTTAGTCTGTTTAGATGCAAAATACAAATTTTTTAAACATCTTTTAATTTGACATGGATGATACTTTAAATCTTTTTATTTCATATCTTGGACTTGGAGACCTCATTGTCTTTACTCAATATTGAATGCATCATATATGCCATGATGTGGATTCATTTTGTATGTAAATTTGTAGCATTCAATAGACCTTTGATCTGATTATTTTTTCCCCTCCTGCCACTGCTATTAACATCCCCCCCCCCCCCCCCCCCCTCTTTCAATGTCTCTCCTTTGTGTCCTTCCATGTTGCAAAATTTTCTAGGATTATTTGAACTCATTAATTTATGCCATGGAAGGCTGTTGTTGATTCAAATTCAAGTCTACTTCCTACCAAATTTTTAATATTGATAAACTTGGTTTTCATTGCTATTTCCTTGAAATGCTCTAGCAACTTTTTTTATAATATTTCCACATCCAAATTTTTGTTTGCCATGAAAGATATTGAAATATTGGAATTTTCTAGTCTTCTTAAACTTGAAACAAGTTCAATCATACTCTCAAAGTGTGTTTGGGATAAAATTTATCCCACAAATAAAAGTAAAGAGGACATTGTTTTGAGATGTCTCAAAATGGAGATTGCAACATTCACTTTTGTTGGAGAGAGTTGTCTTTTATGGCTTTACCCTCTGAAGTGTTGTTATTTGACTTTGTTAACCTCCTATTATTGTGCATCTTCTTTCCTGTAAGAATCCTCTAAAGACCTACAGTTCCTCAACCTAAGGTCAAATGGTGTTGAATTCCTCATTTCATTTACTATATATTTTGTTGAAGTAAAGATTGCCTACAAAACAAACTTTAATGTATATTGGAAGCTGCAATATGTTCTGGTTGAACTATATGTGCTTTTGTGCAACAAATATAGGTGGCATACTGTTAAGGCAGTTTCTGCTATTGCGTGTAAAATCCTGTAGTATCCATGACAAATGGGTACAGTTAGCTGAATTATACCATGTTACGGTTGAGAAACGAACTCCAAACACCAGATAAATTTCTTGCTAATAACAAGCACTACGGTGATACACATTTTTTTCGCATTGAATAGGAATGGATGTAAGAAACTATGATAAAATCCTTGGAGATTATGCTAGCAGATAAATGATATTGAATATTTTGAACATAATTTCAGCTGGAAAAGTCTCTATGAGACTGAGCAGACATTAAGCACACTTTCAGCTGGAAATAACTTTGTGTAATAAGTACGAACCTTATGACATAGTATGATTTTGTCATTTCATTTCTGAATTCTTTTTCTTTTGGGGTGATATTGCCTTTGCCAGATGGTAGGTTCTCTCATTGTGGTCTTTCATGGCACTTATAATTTTTTCCTTGTAGTATGCAACTGTTGATTTTTTTTTTTCTTTTTGTGCTTCTCAGGTAGCTGAGCGAGCTTTGTTTTTGTGGAACAATGATCACATTGAGAACTTAATTATTCAAAACCGCAAGGTTATACTGCCCATTATTTTCCCAGCCTTGGAGAAAAATGCCAGAAATCACTGGAATCAGGCTGTACATAGCTTGACAGTAAATGTCCGCAAAATCTTCAATGATCTTGATCCAGAGCTGTTCAAGGAATGCTTGCTTAAGTTTGAGGAAGATGAATCAAAAGAAGATGTGATTGAAGTGAGGCGTGAAACTACATGGAAACACTTGGAAGAACTTGCTCAAAAGAAAGCTTCTGGGAGTGAAGCAGTGGTCATTCCCCTACAAAGCAAACGCTAATGGCTCATCAGGGTAGATATAGAGAGAGGGTATCAGTTTTTCTATTGGGATGTAAGTACCAACCTTGTCCGGGTGGTGTAATATAGTCAATTTCTTGCCCACTACAAAAAAGGAATCTGAGATTGCTTTATGGTAAGTTCCAGCCTATTAGTGAAGCCTAATAAACATTTTTGTTAAATTAATCTTTTTATTATTGAACTTATCCTATTCATATACTTCTTGGTTTGCATCAAATTACGTATCCATAAACACATTCAATGGTGAAGGGAGGAAAATAGAAAAAAAAAAAAAAAGTCGCAGTGATAGTCAATGTTAATCACTTTTGTTGCTTTCTTTCTGAGTTTCCTTATCCACATGTACTGAAGAATATTGTGTTAAGCATAGTACCAGGGGAAAAAAAAAGCTCTGAGCAATCATTTAAGCCTGCTTAGAAATGTATGTTTAGCACTGCTGACAGGTTTATGCTTATCAAGTCAAATGCAACTGCTCCATGTTGCATCAGGCAATTTTTATTTTAGGATAATGTCATCAATGGCCTTAAACTATAACGAAATATTCCGTTTGATACCTGAACTTTAAAGATTTTTAATATAATAGTTGAATTATAAAAATGTTAACTAATATGGTACTTGGAAGATTGTTTGTTAGCCATATAACATCATTTGGAACTAATGAATTAGTGATGTATATTATATTAGTTAATAGATTTATAGTCTATAATTTATATATCACATTGATTCAGCATTACAGTGAATATTTGACTATAATTCGGAGTCACTCGAGACATTCATTTTTTTATTTTTTGACACTTTAGGCACCAGCAAGTGCTGGTACTGCTCCAGAAAAGGGTTAGCTGTTATTGCCAATCAGCAAAGCAGCCATATCCATCTTTGACATGAAATTTATATACAACCTTTCCATCATCGTCAGGGAATTGAGATCAGCGACCAGCCATCCAGGTCTTTTTTTTTGGTTTTTTTTTCTTCTGATTCTTTGCAAAATGCTGTATGGACTGATAAATGGTTGCCAAGAGAATTACTACTGATTCTTCAGCCTGGTAGCGTCAGATTTACACAAATTTTAATACATCACTTGCCTCCTGGTCCCTGCCTTGCTCTAAGTCGTCAACCCCACCACCCCACCAAAGCTTAAACTTACATGAACATGGCTTGGATTAGGCAAATTGGGCTCTTCTCCATCCAAGTAGGGCCTCTTCTACCAGCAGTCTAGCAACTTTTTCTAGTGCGTGGAGTGAACGCTCCAATTGCTCTTGCAGACGGACGCCGCGTCAACGCCACCTGGACGGAAATCTCTGCCTATACCCAGACACAAGAGCAACGGACCTATTTGTCATGCCGTTGTCGTTTGCTTATTTTAATATTTGAAAGAAAATTGCTAATAAAAATCTTTTAAAATGAGATTTTAATTTAGCACTACCACTAAATTTTTCATCCAACTATAAAAAAAAAATTGAATTTAAATGTTCTCATTTCTCTTATTCTTCTGATTATATTAAAGAAATAAAATATAAATAATTTATTTTATTAGCAAACACCTCCTAAAATTATTTAAAAAAATTTAAAAAGTCATACCTAAAATTCCATTCGAATTTAATTAAACCCACACGTTTGACAGTAATCATATTCATGAACATTTTTTTTCCCAAAATTATCTTTAAAAAAAAAAATCTCATTGATCAATAAATATTTTTGTTAATGGATCAATTTTTATCTAACAAAAATAATTTTTTTTTTCTAAAAGCAATTTATGCAAAACAAATGAAACGAAAATTTGGAAGGTTTTATCCCTTTTTTTGGAACTCCTATTTCCTTGTAATCTATGTTTATTCTTCTCTAATGCTTGTAGACTGAGGGAAAAACCAACAATGTTTTTTGGTTGATTAATATAAATTGTCAACATTTTTTGTATTAGTGTTTATAATTTAAACTCCTAATGACCTTCAATTAATAAGCTATGGAATTTGTTGAACCAACCCAAAAAAAAATTATGAATTGGTTATTGGTCCAACGCTTAAAACAGTCAGAACTGGAAGAAGCACATGCCCCAAATAAAAACATTCTGCATAACATCATCCTATAAATATATATATGTGTATATATATATATATATATATATATATTTGTAAGAAGATAATCTTTCATTCATAAGTTAAAAATGCATCGGCAGATACACTGTTTTGAAGAAAATCAGGACATTCCTCTACTAAGTAGACTCCTTATTGAGATTGTGACCCAACCTTAAGCAAACAATGTGCTGCTGCATTACCTGTTCTTCTGATATGAGCTGTGCTGTAAGATCTGAACTGTTTAGCTTTTGTTCTGGCTTCTTCTATGATTATCCCAAGTGGAGAGTAATCGGGTTATGTTGTTTTGAGTTTGCTATACACTGTTAAACTATCTCCTTCTAACACCATATCTCCAAAACCCATGTCTTCAGCAAATTTCACAGCACGAACTGCAGCAAGGGCCTCTATAGTAAGGGCGTCTGTTATCCATGGCCAACTAAAGGTATAGGCTCCCATGACCAATCCATCAGAAGTTCTTATTATTACTCCCATTCCACCTGTCTTTCGTTCCATATTCACAGTCACAGCTCCATCAAGATTAACTTTATATACACCACTGGGAGGGGGTTGCCATCTCTGTTGACTTGACGGCTGCATGCTTGATTGTTGCTGCTGAGCTTTGTTGAATTCCAGCTGGTAATTCTTTGCAAGCATTGCTAAAACATTTGGATTCCTCCTTGGTTTACCATGTAGTTCATTTTCTCGATCATTCCATATCATCCAAGCTGCCATAGCCATTAACTGTACTTGGTCATTAGTTAGCTTCTCCATTGCTTGGTCAAGCCACTCTCTTATATCCATATGTTCATCATTTCCTGCATGCCAACAAAAGCCCAAAATCTCCACACCTCCTGAGCCCAATGACATTCTTTAATGGCATGATACACTGTCTCATTGTTATCTCCACATCGGCGACACCCTGTGTTAACAGGAAAATAAACAGGTTGTTTCATTATTGGAATGATTTCATGACACGCCACATGAAAATTTTGATCTTTGGAGGCACTTGGATTGACCATATGCGTTTCCACACATTTTGAGTACCATTTTTCCACACATTTTGGAATGACTCCGTGAAAGGCAGCCACTAATCCTTCCATATGCGTACCATTTTTCCATCACCTATCCTCCATCTCACCCCCTTTTTATGGACTACCTTGGCTGTCCAAACGCTCCTCCAGGGTAAAGAAGGAAAATTGCCCAGTTTGGAATCCATGAAAGAGTCTCCAGTGAAATATATCATCCCAAAAATTAGATTATCAAAGATTAATTATCCAAACAAAAACATTCTACATAACAGCATTACATCATCCCTTTAAGAAACAAAATCTTTGTTTTTTTTTTTATTTATTAATATCTAAATTACTAGTTGTACTTGAGAGAATATAAAAAGAGAAAAAAAAAAAAACAGACTTATTGCCAAACTTTTTATTTTCATTTTACTAGTTATTTTATTTTTAAATGTTCTCAGATGTTCTACTTCCGGGCAATGGAGTAAGGTTCTTCTATCAAAGGGGCTGCCTTTTGGTCTTTCTCTTTCTCTTTTTCTCCATTGGCCCAAAGTAAATTCAGAAGGAAAATAAACAGTTAAAAACGGAAAATCTGAGGCTTTTTTCTGTCTCATGTTCAAGTACTGTATCAAGTTATTTTCTTTCTGTAAGTGTCAGAGGCTCTCCTCTTTTCTGGGTTTGCTTTTGTTTTGTATGTTGATTTTGCTTTTTGTTGTTGTTGCTTTTATATTGCTTCGTAGTATCTATAATTGATGCTAATTTGGTGTTTTTTTTATCAAACCTAGATCCTGTCATCATTTGACCCGACGGACTTTGGCTGCTGATTTTGGGAAGAAGAGGTAACAGGGAACCATATGGAAAGCAGAGTTAATCCATCACATTGAGAACTTAATTAGACAAAACCGCAGAGTTATACTGCCCATTATATTGCTTGCCTCCGAGAACAATGGTCATAACCACTGGAATCAGGTGGTCAAGAGCTTGACGCATAATGTTGGCAAAATTTTTGCTGATATTGATCCCAAACTATTTGAGGAGTGCTTGAGCAAGTTTCAAGAAGATGAAGAAAAGCTGGAAGAGATCAAATCGGAACATAAAGCCGCCTGGAAGCGCCTAAAAGAGATTGCTGTATCAAAAGCAGCTAATGGTGAAGCAGTTCTTGTTCCAAATATTGTAGCCTCTCAAACATCATGAGCACCATTGATTGACCTGACCATCGTCAAAATTTTATTGTTGTAGCCACAAGATGATTCAAGTGCTTAAAGAAGTTGAATGCCCATGAATTGTCATCTTTTTGCAACCAAAATCTTGACTTGGCTTGGGTGTTACCTGATGATCTAGAACATCTTTTTGCAGCAATTAAGTTTGACATTCGTGGCACTCATACAAAGCAAATACAAGTTACTAGCTGCTCTCTACCTTTAGGAATGAAGGAGATGTAATCAGTATTTTTGCTCTTCTTATAGGTAATGTTGCGGAGAATCATACCAAGTATCTATAATCACAGGTAATTTATGTTCTTAATCTTGATTTTTCATGAACAACTTGATCTCATTTCTTGCATGTAAGTGTATCATCTGTTTAGTGCTTACCTTTTGTTCTTACAAAAGAAAACTTTTGTTGGTGTGTCTCTGTTAATACAAATATTGATAAATTTGGATGGGATTTAATTGAAGCTTATTGCAATTCTGTCTTTCTCTCTGTTTCATGTAACGAGTACGGATATTTGTGAAGTAGAACTCAAGCTTCTAGCTCAATTGAACTATGTCAAAATTTTAGTGCCATAATTGAATATTTGCCTATAATCATGACTAAAAATGTCCACATTAATGGCAAGTTGAAATTCTTTCCAGTTTTCCTCCTTTCTTGCTTTCCAAATAATGTAATTTAATTTAAGTGTAAAATTTCACAAAAAAAAAAAAGATTTATGAAAAAAAATTGATAAATTGAAAAATTATGCAATTATAGTGGTGTAAAAAATAGAAAATGAAACTAATTAAAAAAAGCAAAAACAATAAAAAAACAGAAAAGACAAAAAAAAAATGGAGTTTGAAAAAGCGGCCTCGGTGTTGAATGAAGAAGCACTGGAGGAAAGTGCTCCCTGACTTTACTTTTAGAAGAAAAATGAAAACAAGAATTTACCTCGTATATATACTAGCATATATTTTTTTGGTTTAAGTGGATGAGAAATCAAGAGCAAGAGCAAGAGCAAAAATGACTACGGAGTTGAGAGTCGAAACCTTCCACACAGAAGCCATTAAACCTTCTTCACCAACTCCAATTAACCTGAAAACTTTCAAGCTATCACTTCTTGATCAGATGACTCCTGTGACTTACATACCCTTAATCTTCTGGTACCGCGCAGAGGCTGCTTCTAATGACAAATTTTCCGAAACTCAAGAAAGATCCCGGCGGCTTAAGAAATCGTTATCCGAAACGCTAACTCGCTTCTACCCTTTTGCAGGGAGGATAAGCAATAGCTTAATCGAATGTAACGATGAAGGGGTTGATTACATCGAAGCTCGAGTTAACTGTCTTCTCCAGGACATCCTCAAAAAACCAGATGGCCAGGTGCTGACGAAATTTCTTCCTATTAAAACAGAATCAACTGAAGCAGCAACAGGTCGCATATTACTTGTTAAAGTCAACTTCTTTCAGTGCGGTGGCATGGCGATTGGCGTAAGCATTTCACACAAGATCGCTGATTTATGCACCTTAGGCAAATTTGTCAACAGTTGGGCTGCCACCACTCGGGGTTCAAGCGAGGTGGTGTTTCCAGAATTTGGCTGTGCTGCATCGTTTTTACCACCTACAGATTTATCATTCACAATGCCTGCCATGGAATTCAACCATCAAAGGGCTGCTATGAGGAGGTTAGTGTTTGATGCTTCAAAGATTTCAATGCTTAAGGCTCGATCTGCTAGTAGAGGCGTGCCACAGCCTACGCGCGTTCAAGCTGTGGCAGCGCTTATTTGGAAATGTGGAATGGTTGCATCAACATCAAATCTTGGTGGCTTTACAAAGCCATCTGTGTTGCGTCAAGTTGTCAACTTGCGTAAAAGATTGAAACCTCCCCTGCCTGAGAACTCTGTCGGCTATCTTGTATCTTACTTCACTGTACAGACGCAGGATAGTGAAATGGAATTGCAGGGCCTGGTTCAACAATTAAAGAATGGAATCAGAGAATTCAGTGAAAACTACGTGAAGAAACTTCAGGGGACTGAAGCAATCTCAACAATTTTTGAGGCTGCGAAGGAAGTAGGAAACTTGTCAAAAAGATATGATATTGATTTCTACAACTGCCTCAGTTGGTGCGGATTCGATCTATATGAAGCTGATTTTGGATGGGGAAAACCCATATGGGTTAGCGTTGCCGGTGCAACAACCCCAAATATTTTCCTACTGATGGATACAAGGGACGGTGAGGGAATAGAAGCATGGGTGGCCTTGACTGAACCGGAAATGGCCTTCTTTGAACATAATGAAGAGCTGCTTACATTTGCTTCTGTGGATCCTAGTGTTTCTAGCTGAGTTATTCATTCTTAATTTCCAGTCTCCACCGCGATTATGAATAAAAAAGTGTCACGGAATGATTTACTGTCACAATTGTTACCTCTTTTATATATTTATCAATTCGAAATAATCATAAAAAAAATTTCTTGTTAAAATGAAGCTTGAAAACCCATCATGCCATTCTCTAGATTATGAAAGTAATGATATTCACTGTGATTAATCATATTGATTTTAAGCAAAGAGGTTTTTGTCTATACCCAAAAAAAGAAAAAAAAAATGGAAGAAGAAGAAGCTTCTGCCTTGTATGTTTTGTTTGTTTTAAGTCATTATTAATGTAATATATGAGAATTCTAATGGCTCGTACACACAAAAATGGTTTAAAACGGGAATTCAAAAAAGTGAATTTCCGATCATCCAAACAGCTGTTGCTATGAATATACGATGGATTATTCACCTCTTTTGTGTGTGGTGAAGACAAGGCAACGTTACTCCATGTGAGTCTTGCTGTATTTTTGAGCAATGAAATTAATAAATGATGCTTGATTTACTGACCAAGACTTAAAAAATGGGTGGACAAGTGAGGTCAATATAATGTATTAATTTGCATATAATATACGTAAGTTATAAAAATTATCATTTATACTTTATGTGGATACATTAAATATAAATATAATTTTTAATTTTTTTAAATTCATATTATTTTGTCAAAAATTTAAATCGTATCATTTTTATATTATATCATATTTAAAATTATAAAATTAAAATATTGCATAATTAATTATATATTGGTTAAAAACAAAACATATCATTATTAAAACTATAACAGTTTTAATCAACTTTATACTTAATAGTATATAATTTTTTAAAATATTGTTCAATATTACAATTCATCACTTCATCAACATTTTAAAAAGAATAATTAAAATTTTAGCATTTATAACCTCTTTTCTTATTCTTAGATTACAACATTCTATGTTTAAAAAAAAGAAATATTAAATTTTTTTATGATTGATGATTTTTTTTTGAAAAACATAAAAATTTATATTAAAAGAAAATAAAATAGAATGAACTCAAGAAAAAAGTTAGAAATAGGAAAAAAAAAAGCTAGGGAAAAAAAACCTTCCATTCACTACATCAAAACAAAGTAGCACCCTTAAGGGACTTACCAACTAAAAAGGATGTTACAAAGCAGTTATGTCATATCAATATATATCATTTTTATTTAAATCATAGTTATGTTAGTATATATTATTTTTATTCAAATCATACCACATAGTTTCATCATTGAAAAAAATAATTATTTATTATATATCATATGTAGTAATTAAATGATAAATATTAATTTTAATTTAATAATAAATAATTAATATTTTCAATAATATAATTATGTGACATGATTTAAATAAAAGAGATATATGACAAAATGATATAACTATTTCATACAATCTTTTCCTCTCACCATCAATCTAAATCCTAACCAAACCAACATTAGTAAATAACTTTGTGGTTCAAAAAAACAATTTGAAAATATATTATATTCTTTTGTTCAAAAACATAAATAACTGTTACAAAAAAGATCAACTTATACAAAAAAGTTTTACCACTTCTTACAAATTTTTTTAATTATTGATTTCAATAGATCTAATGGATAAGATTAAATCTTTTTTTTTTTTTTAATCTTTTTGACTTATTTCTCTTATTTATTAAATTTATTGAAATAAATAGTTAAAACAAGGTAAAAGAAAATGTAGAACCTTTTTTGTGTAAATTTGATCCTATCCCTTTTAAAAAATATTACTTGCTATTTGAAAAAGATAATCAACAATTGCTAATTGAACATTAGTTAAGATGATATAAGTACTAGATAAATTTTTGGAAGTTACGATTTTGAAAGAATTTAAAATAGTATTTGGTATGGAGTGATCACTCATAAAACCCATGATGATTATATCACTGTATTTGGTAAGTATTTGATGATTTTATGTGATTGAAAGTGATTAGATCACTGTCTTGGAAGTTGATATAATTTTCATATAAAATGGTGTAAAACTTTTATCACCAAAGTGAAATAATATGTAAAATTAATAATAATAAATTTTATCTATTTAATATGTAAATTAAAAACTTGCTGCATCTTAAAATTGTAATTATTTTATATTATGAGTTTTTATATTTTTAGATTAATATATTGTAACAAGTTCAAAAATAATTTGTATATTCCTTTTACTTTTTAAAATATTTTATATAGAATATAATTTTTTTGCTTTTCTTTTATTATGAATTTAATAGATTTGTTGTATTTTTTAATTCAAATATTTTTTACATAATTTATATTAGCAATTTACTTATCAACAAACATATTTATTAATTTAATAATTTAATTGTATTTTATTCTAAAATAAATAAATATTACTAATATTTTATAAATTATTACCTTTAAACAACTTTAAAATTATTACTTTGTGTAACTATTACAATATGTATAGTTATTTTCACACTTTTAAACAAAATAACATTTGATTTTTAATAATACTAAACACAATGATATTTAATTTTTACGAATTAATTATTGTTAACCAAATAAAATGATCTCAAATTGTGAGTGTTAAAATTACTTTGATAATAAGATCACCTCAATGATTATATTACTATAATGATCTTACCAAAGCTACCTAAGTGTATAATATTTTCTTTAAGTGAATTAAATAAATAAAAGTTGAGAGATTAAATGGTGGATTAAAAATTAAAAAATGGATAAGCAAATTAGGGAAATTGACACTTATTATGAATTAATTAGGGTATGAGTTTTAGGAAATGTATTTTGGGTAGTTTTGATAATTTAAATACAACACAAAAATTATACTAAAAAAATGAATGTAATAGGAGTTAAAATTTTAGTAAAAATTCTATATGGATTTAAAAAACAAAAAAAATATATTTTGTGTTTTTCATATTGACAAGAATTATGACAAGTAATTTACACGAATTATCAATGTTTTATACGATATAAATACATAAAGTATCATATATATAACTTTAGATATTTAAATGGTTGGTTCATGTTAGAATTGACTACGCTTTTGTGAGATTTGAGTTCAAGATAGGAATGTCAATGAAGAAGGTATGTGACGGGTACAATACTTCTCATTTAGATATTTGGATTTTTATATTATATCAATTACTGTATTCATATTTAACGAGTATTTCAAATTTATTCCAACCTTTGTCCTCATGGATATTAAATGGGTACAGGTACAAGTGTAATCTAGTCGAATTGATAAAGTAAGAAACTTGAACTCGACTCGAAATTTGTTGCTTGAAACTTGGCTTGAGTTTAATTGAATTTTAATTTTTAAACTTGAGCTGGACTCAATATAAAAATTGAATTATTCAAGCTTGCTCGATTAAGCTTGTTTAATAAAAATGAGCTCGATTTTTATTTTTGATTTCAAGCTTAATAATGTATTCAAACTAGAGTTTGAACTCAAATATATATATATATATATATTATAAAACGGTAAAATAATAAATTTTTAATTAAAATAATAAAAATACATTAAAATTTAGAAGCTTAATTAGGCTCGCAAGCTACTCGAGTAAAATATTAGGATACTCAAATTTAGCTTGCTCGATAAATTGAGTTGCTCAAACTGAATTCGACAATAATCGAGTTAAATTTAAGTTTTATCTAAGTCGAATTCGAGTAATTTACGAGTATTGATGTCTCATTTACATTTCTAGGTATAGATAATCTTCGTACTCGTTATTTTTTTAAAAAACAAAAATAATTTTTTTTTCTTTTTAAAATTTTTATCTTGCATATTTAAGTAGTTTTTTTTATAAATATATTAATATCTATTTTTAAATAGAAATATTAGTTAATCTAAATAATAATTTATATTATTTAATAAAAAATCTATTTACTAAATATATAAATATGTATAAGATATAAATATGAGAGGGGTACGATATCACTTTTTTCTATTTTCATATTTAATAAAAAATTTAAAATTATATCAATTTTAATAGTATAATACCCATCTTATCTTCAATAGAATAAAAAATTAAAATTTTTTATTGAATATGAATAAAATTAACATTTTTAACTTAAGAAATTTAAAATGAAATCTTATATTCTTTTGAGATTCACTAATTTTAAAGCATTCAATAATAGCTCGGGCTGGGCGTTACATGCTATAAATATTTCCATAGTATGAAATTGTAGATGGTTTTGGACAATTTATGATCTTCTACAACTATAGCAGTCAAATTTAATCTAGACTTTAATTCTTCAAAAAACAGTGAATATAGCCATCATTTTTTAGATTTGAAGTCTACCATGGCGTCTAGACTTGGAAAGCACAACATTGACGTAACATTCCAGCACAACTTTCACGTAACAGAGGGCTTTCTCTTTTTTGGAAAAGAAAATTATGCACAGCATCCGCTTGGTAAAAGCAATTCACCGGGAAAAAAAAAAAGGCCAGTATTGGCCAAGTCATAGCCACAGAAATCGTTAAACCAAGCTTGTAATTCCCGCTAAGTCGAGCAACATCATACTTATAAGTAAAATTGGGATACCGTCTAAGCGGTGTGTACGTGGATA